TTTTTTTACTAGAGACTTACGAACAACACAAGTATACAATTCATGAGATTACGTCACGACGACATAGAAAATGTCTGTTTATGCCTGCACCACTGTTATAGTGCAACACAAGTACATGAATAGAATAAGTTGAAAAAAATAAAAAATAAAGAAAAGCAATTTTTCAATTACATCATTAAGAACTGGTTATGATCCACTCTCCAAGCACCAAGTCCTAAAACAGAAAATATATATATAAATAAAACAAGACGCTCTTGGAGCGCTTACCCGAGTTACGTCATAGAAAAGTGTCATGATAAATGGCGTCACATTCTGTGATTGATATGACACTTGGAATATGTAAAAAAAGGTCAGACCTTTTCCCACCTGACCCCAAGCAAAGGGATAGGGGCCTTGGAACGAGATTGATGATATGCTACGTCACGCGGTATCAAATTTAAAATTGAAAGAGCTTGCCTGCCTGTTTCCTACTAAGACTGAAGCGCAACCTTATTGGCTGTTGGGTTACCTGTGCTTCCAAAATGCTACACGATGCATAGATACATAAAATAGGTAAAACAATACTTGGGTTCCCTACGGGTAGCCGCTATCCACAGAGGATCCGAGTATAGGTTGAAACAAAAAAAGAAAGTTAATATCAATAATCCTCGTTTGTGAGACGCAGGCTGTAACTGGTAAATAAAATGAATATATATAAAACCAAGTAAATGCTATTTTTTTAATRGTTATAAGATTTCTATATTTACCAACGTCGATATCCGGTGCTTCTTTAAAGCGATGATCACGAATTCTSCCTCCAAGCTCGTCATCTTTCTCAAAAATACAAACTTTTGCGCCTTTCTTTTCTGTCAGTATTTCGAATGCCATGTACAGTCCTGAGATCCCACCTCCAACTATACCAACGTCACACCATTCTAAAAAGGAAAGTTTTCCAATTCTTCTTCATTTTTATAATGTAAAATATTATAGGGCAACTCCTATGAAATACCCAGATTGTCAAAATTTGAGTTAATTAGCTTATCTATTTATGGCTTTGTTAGTCATAGAGCAACATATTTTCTGATTTTTTTAAAAATTCTCATAAATATTCTCAAATATCTTTACAGTCGATAACCTCAATGACGTTATACTATTGTTTTTATGTCCAAGGAATTCATCCCCATCAAGTTTCTAATATGGAATACAGCTATTTTAGAAAAAGTTGAATACTGAGCACTGCATACTGTTMATTCTAAGACCGCAATGCATTGTTGGAATTTGACGTTTGGAATGCACGGTAAAYATGGATCTAAAACTTTCTTGTTACAACCTTAGCACGCGCGCTTTCATTTTTCCGATTTTTCGCTTTTATCTTGCGCAATTCTTTTTCATTTCTCCCTTACGGTGACTTTAGACATATTGAACAAATACACTCAATTTTCCGTACGTTTGTAATCTAATAGATACACAAAAGACTTAAAAATTTATGAGCACAAATACTCCASGAGACGAATTCGAGTGGCGTGAAAACTGTTTCACGGCCTTAGAGCAAAAATACCAAACCCACTTAACAAAATCTACTAGTTACGATGTAAGATAGCGGGAACAATATATCTGTCAGATGTGTAATATTTTAGCAATGAATAAATTTCAATCAATTCCTTGACAGTGGTAATGAAGTGGTAATCTCACCCAGGCAACTTTGCCCCTACTCTCTCCCTCAGATAAAAAAAAAGAACGCCACGAGAAGAAGTCGCGAAGAGTGACTGCCATTTCATGGGTTTAGAACAAAAAATAATATATTAAATCCGATCAACAAAATCAAATATTTAAGTTGTAAGTAATACACTTATTATCGAAATAATTGAGAGAAAGTTTTCTCTCACAGGTTACCTTACCCAACTCTCTCCCAAGCGACAAAAATTATAGTGCTATTTCATGGGTTAACAGAGGGTCTCAATGGGGTGGTACGCATCACGACTCACGGCTTGAAATTTGGCGATGCACGGCTCACGACTAATTTTTTCTAATCACGGTTAACTAGATTACTTTTAGAAAATTTTGAATTGCGTTTTTCATTGCTTTTTCTTTTTTCGTATGAATAGACTGCGTGACTTATTCGGACATGGATTTTTCTATTTCAAATAAGCCGAAATGCGACTATTTCCGAGAAAAAAAGATTAACCATAAATTCATAAACACACAAAAAATGTCCAAAACGTGTTCATATGAAACTTATGGGGGACAAATAGTCCGTGTTCACTCAAGCTTGACCTGAAAGTCCGTATGAAGTGCCAAATTTGACGAAAGAAGGCCAGATTTCAAGGCTTTTTGAAGAAATGCGGCGATATTAAAAGCAATCCTAAAAACCTAGCACCAGATTTAAGAAATWAAATCTATATGTGACCTTTCTGGGTATTTTTCGTGAGAAAATTCRAAARTCCAATCAYGTATTTTTGCMCTTGAAGAGTTGAAGTTGAGCATTAAAATAGTATGGCGATCCATGTTTTCACCACAGTTCGCTCCAAAAAACTGGGCCTCGCGCATAACTTATTTTGTTAATAAAAAACCTAGCACCGGATTTAAGAAATAAAATGTATGTGTGACATTGCTGTGTATTTTTCGTGAGAAAATTTAAAAATCCAATTATGTATTTTCGCCTTTGAAGAGTTGGCGTTGCTTCGCATCCGTTTGCGTTTCGGGATTCCTGTCCCGACGATGAACGGATGCAAAGGAGACTACTTCTGTACTTCTTTCTTATTATATGTTTAAAATGTAGTCAAAACTATGCAGTTTTGTGTTAATTCAATATTTGAAAAATTTATATCAGTCAGTGAACGTAACTGTGATATTATATGTACATGTACTTTCCTTTCTAGAGGTGACTTTGCTATTAATAGTATTTAATGGTCAGATGATGATGTTAATGAGGTCGATCGACGACAAAATATTAATTAACTCCATTGTATTATATTTCATGAAGTAAATAAATAAATTACATGCATATATACATGCATGCATGGATGCATGAGTGAGCCTGGACAATAATCCAAGCAAATGTCACCCGATGTATGGCAATAAGTTCCATATGAA